AGAGAGAGAGAGAGAGAGAGAGAGAGAGAGAGAGAGAGAGAGAGAGATCGACCTCAAATGTGCATGTCATTTCATGATAGAAATCACATTTCTATCAAACGATAATGTTCGATAAACGTTGCGATAAGAGAGAAAACATCAACTGCATCGAATTGTACGATTATGATTTTTGTACGCACACGCACAATGACTGACAATTGTATCAACGTTTCCTGAAGAGTACTCGTACGTCGCGTAACATATAATCTTTCTTGCGATATCATCGACATTTACAATCGCAATGGTAATTATTTTGACGCGGTAACAAATAATTAAAAGACAATCATAATCGCGTTTCAAATGTAATTACAAACGACAGATAAATTAACGCACTTGCACATGTTGCGCTAATGCGCACATAGATTATACAGGCGCAATAGTGGTTGACGGTCGGGGGACTTCTGCCGGAAACTGCCTTATACACACCGATAACGCGAGCTTGAACAACGCGTGTAAATGAGATACATGCAATCCGTGTAATCGGCTAATCGCGATTTACAATTTATCATTTACGATTTACACATAGGAATCGACTGCATGTACAGTGAGTACGGTGCATGAGCATGGTGAGCACGGTGAGCGCAACGGACCGAAAACTGGGCCCGATAAACACGTAAAGTCGAGAGAAAATTGTCACGCATCCAAACAACACTGCGCCAAGAGTTTTTGGGGTTTTTAACACGACGTAATCCGGATGTACTCTTCCTTGGGACGTGACAAATTTCTGTCAACGAAAAAGGCAACGAGAGACAAAATCGTATATGCACATTCTGTACAGTACTACATGCTCATTTTACACTCTCATTTTCTAATCATCGTGCAAGACAAGCAAGTATAATATGGTCATCTCGCATCTCGCGTGCGTGACTATGAAACTGAATATAATTAATTACAAATTACCAATCTGACGACTCTTCAAATGCGATTTAATCGTTAATATATTGAGATAGCTTGTAAATTTATTCATCCCCTGATGGGAAAATTGCGCAAATATTGTACAATAATTGCATCATTCAACTGAGAGGAATTTCACAATTAATGCACCAAGATGATTCGCCATAACGCAGCAATTTTGTCGACATGAAATTTCTGAATAATATTTGCACAAAAATTGATAAATTCAATTTTGATTACAAGTTATACACACGTATTTCGATATTAGAAGCATATTTCGCAATTATATTACGCAATCTTTTTCAAAAATTAATTTTACAAATATTCCACAATTTTACAAATATTAAAATGATTCTACGCTGTTTTGCTGAAACGCTATTTAGAAATAAATTATGCAACGTGTGCAATATTTATCAATATTTGTACAAAGATCTAACGTTCTACAAGTACTGCTGCAAATATTGAGATATACGTGCAGCATTCCCACGTTCATCCAGATTTCGTCATATAATTTTATATATAATATTTTCCTATCGAGGTCTTTATCAATCTTAGTGAAACGGAGTTGCTGACAAATATATCATTCACGTGTGGCAAGCTTTTCATAAAACGTTATTTTTATAAACATAAAATATAGCTGCATTATGTATCTCGAAAAATTCAAGGGTTACTTTTGACTCGAGACTACTTATGTACGCCGAGAAAAGAAAAAGCAAGAAAGTGAAAAGCACTCGATCGATAGTATTCTGCTTATTAATTCTTTTCCTCGGTAGTCAAAAATTCGTCGAAATACGTGAAAGAAATAAAAGGAGAGCGCACAGAGACAATGTCCTGTCGTTGATAGTTGATATATCGTGAGTATCCAATATGTATTTTCATTCCTAGATCCTCTCATCTCTCTACTAAACAAATTTCCGATATGTCAATTCCTGAATTGTTTCACTTATCGAGACAATTAATAAGTGATATAGATCCCCCGTCGGTAACTTTACCGTAAACCGGGGACATATAGGTATCGTCGGAAGCACCGGGATATAATATGGACCAAATTATATTTATTTAAATTCATCGCCATTCTATATTCTTCAGCAGGACTGCGTTCGTTTTGACGTTTTCGACGCTGAAAGCATCGCTCTATTTTCGTTTAATATTCCATGTGCAAAAAGACAGAATAATGCCGTTTATCAGTTTTCTCAACAAGTCTGTTCCCATGTATCTCAGCAAATATTGGTTTTACAATGTTGCTGCAACAAAATTATGGAAATATACTACCTAATCTACAGATATGCGTAATTTTTTCAGTAAACTTGCTGGTTACGTAGTTTTTATATAAAAAAAAAATTAAAGAAAAATGCAATTTTTTCAGGGTTTTATGGAACGTGCATAAAATAATCATTACAATGCCTCGTGTCCATTTTCCAACACGTGCAGCCATATACACTGTTTCATTAAATGAAATTAAATTCAGAATTTCCAATCCAGTAACTTTAGAGTTTTTAACAGTAGTCTTTACTCTAAACAAATGGTAAGAAAAAACTTGTTAAAATCATTCCATATATCTCCGCTTTACGGTACTCAACTAGCTCCCATTACATTCAAAATATAAAATAAGCTTTCTGTACGTCCGCGATCTGCGATACAATCGCTTTCTCTCTCTTTCTCTCTCTCTCTCTCTCTCTCTCTCTCTCTCCCTCCCCCTCCCTCCTTCCCCTCCTCCTCCTGCTCCTGGTCTCTCAATTGTAATCTTACAGAGCGTAAAGCGCAAGTGTTAAGCGATATCTTTAAATTTAAACTTTAAAAGGAGAGAGAAAATTAGAGCGAAATTGTAACAAGGATAAGAGAATTGCCTCGTGCGCGTCGACTCGGATGCCGGCGAGCATATTCCGAGGGCGGGCACCCTTGCGGAGCTCGGAGTAAGAGATCGTCGACGAGTACTTACATTAACGCGAAACATAGTCTGCACTTCAAAGTAACCCGGACACGAGTCGAGAACGAGGGAGAACGGCGGCGCGGATACGTTGCGGACCGCGCGCATAATGCCGAGCGCGAGGAGACTAATGATGGTCGTAGCAGAGACGGTGCCAGGCGTCAGCTCCGTATAGATGTCCAGGGCCTTCCAGGCACCACGCCAAGCGTTCACGCAACAGAAGCCGAACACGCCGGTGTAGAATCGCGAGCCGAGATAGTACGACAGCCGGTGCTTGTCCGGATGCAGAACGTCGTCCAGGCCATGCTGCACCACGCTGAAGACAAAGAGGCCGGTGAAGCCGACTGTGATCGACGCGAAGCTGCTAAACACCGGCTCGTCCGGATAGACGTAGAAATCGCTGAGTTCCCAAGTGCCGCGCCAGTAACCGACCACCGCCGGCGCGGCTACGAGCGCCGAGAATATCGTATCCAAAATCGTCAAAATGGCATAGTGTAGGCGATTCGACGATCTGGCGTCTAAGCTCCCAGTCATCCTGACACCAGCCGCACGCAACTCGACCATCCTCGACCCAATCCGGATCGAATTTAGTAGTCGCGCCGCTGATCATTACGCCATGGTTCGCACCCTCGAAATTCGCTATCGTGCAGATGAAAGAAGGGAGACACGCGCGCAGTCAACTTCCAAGAAATCGCGCAACGAAATCGTTAAATGTTCTGTTCCTGATATTTTCGTTCGAATCTATAACGTTCGAATCTCAATTTTACTTTAATTCGGTTCTTATTCGTCAAGACTAGCTTTCGTTCTCGTCGTCGTCGTCGTCGTCGTCGTCCTCCTTCTCGTCGTTCTCGTCGTCCTCGTCATCCTCGTCCTCCTCGTCGTCGTCGTCGGTGTCATCGTCATCGTCGTCGCCGTCGTCGTGACATTGCCAACAGTCTTCTATCGAAGAAAGACGATGGCAGCATGCCTTCCCTCGTCGTATTCGTTCATCAGTTCGAGCCAACTTTTCTAGCGCTCTGAGAAAACGTAAATTCGGTTAACGACACTCGTCCAAGTCCGTCTCCAGCGATGAAATTTTCGCCATATAAAACGTGTCTCTCCTTGAATATTATTCAGTCAAATCCAGTATCGCACAATTAATCCGATCTTGACACTCGTCGCTAGGAGAACGATCACGATTATTAAGCTCGAAGAGAGAGGACGAAAGATATGAAAGAGTTGGCTGTGTCGCATCCAACCTCGCGTCTTCCTCGCGCGTCTCCAACCCTCGTTGTGGACGAGCGCTTAGGGCTGACGAACTCGATCGAGCGATCGGCGACCGGTCGAGCAGCCGGTCGGGCAGCGGTCGGGGTGACTACTGACTTGTCTTCGGTATAACCGCTATCTTTTATCAACCGCAACCGCTAACCGCTAAACGCGCGGTCAACACTATCGCATTATCACGAACAACGTCGTCGCTCTCGCGGCGAAACGAACCACCGGCACGGATGACAGTACCCGCGGTATGCTCTCCTTTCCTCCCTCGTTCTCTCCTACGCCGACGATCCCCACCTATGATGCGTATGCGTTATAATCGCCTCGTTCCACCGTGTATCGCGGTGCTATCACCGATTAGAACGATCGGTGGCAGCCGATGACGGCCACGCGCGTTCAGTTGCCGCGATAATACGCGACTCCAAGACGATTCGGTCGTAGCGCGATCTTCGAGCTGGCCGAATCGTCACATCCTCCGACGACTCGATCATCTCTTTCATCTTTCGGTGGGCTTGATATTTTCGGTCATTTTAGATATTCAGATTGAAGGAGAGTCGTCGAATCGCTCGTCGCGCGTCTCGAGTATATGTATATACATATATATCATCTCATATACATGTGTCTCAACGAAGAAGCTTGTTATGTACAGCTATATACGCTATATACGCGGTATTTTTCTTTCTTTCCTTTAATTGCAGGGTGCCGCAAAAAGATTAACTATATGACAAGCTTGATGCAACATATACAAGAAGACACAAAAATACCCGGAATTTTTTTGAAACCATTAAGCAAATCACAATGTACACAAATTAAACGTCTACATCTACACTTTAAACGGAACATAAAACTTTATTAGAACATTAATAACAAAATTAAACAAAGAAAATTACACGAAATACCAAAGAAAACTTGAAATTAATTCCTTTGGCCTTGATACATTTTCGAATCCACTTTGGAAAATTGTTCACAATGGTCGCGCGCACCAGCTGGATGGTATATAAATTTCATCCCAAGCACGCGTCGCAGGGCCACTTTATAAGGGACCTCGTTGATTTAAAGCAAACTTCAGATTCACCTTTACTCCAAGATGGATCACATGGAAAAGCCCGAGTTCAAATCCGGCGAATTTGGCGACAAAACGTCCTTGCCCCAAAAACCGGGAAACCGGTCAGCAGTGTGCGACCATCGTGCGAACAATTCCCCGAAGCGGCTTCGAAAATGTATTAACGCCAGAGGAAACTTTTGTGTCACCCTGTCAGTATACGACGATACGCGAAATTACAATATTGTATTGCTGTTAAGAGCGGTAACGAGATCGACGTGCGGCTAGAGAGAGAGGAGAGAACGGAAGAAGTGAGAGAATTTTGAGAAAAAGGCATTTGAATTTTGAAGCTAAATCGCCGCAACAGTCGACGAGAAATGATTAGATTATAAAAGTAATTTTGTCTACTTTACCTCCGATAAAGAAGAACGGATTCACGTACAATGGCATAATTTTTAGTCACCTTGACGTTATTTTTTCTTCCGAGCAATCTTTCCTGCCTCGCATTCATCAAGCCATTGACGTATATTCATTTAGCCATTGACGCTTTAGCCAAATTCATCGCTAATCGACACCTTTTTGTGTGCCAATCAAGCTTGTGGGTTACACAACATCTTCTCACCTTCATCCCCTAATTCGTTCCAGCGAGCTCGTCAGGGTCACGCGAGATCCAATGTCATTTCAAAAATGTGATTATACGCAAGATATTGAAAATAAAATTAATTATTGGATATTTCATACCGTCGTAGACGTTTATCTAAAATTATTTATCTAAAATTATATACATATACGTATTCATGTTGGAAAATAGTAATCACAAGTGTATATATATATGTACACATCACATATCACGTTTAATAGAAAACTCTAAAATTGATTAACTCATTAAGACCGCATAACAAGTTTAACACGTGATGTGTACTTGTATCCAAATGTAAAAAAACCGACTTACGACTTTTTAAAGATAAATCAGTTTGAATATCAGTTACTTCTTGAATGTTACATTAAACTGTGACATTTGCAATATTTCTTAAAAAAATACTCCATTACATAAAAAACTATATTTTGAATTTAATCGATTAATATCAGACATTTCAAAATCAACTGTTGTTTCAAGGATTAATAATAGATAGAAACGGTAGCTACACATTAATAATAAAGTTGAATCTGTATATTGTTGCGTTTGTGTTTGTTTCGAACATTGTTTAGAAATAAAACTACGTACAAAATTTTCATGAATCAATCTCTCTCTCTCTCTCTCTCTCTCTCTCTTTCTCTCTCTCTTCCTTCCTCTCAGCCGATTTATAAATAATATATGAAACCAGATTACATTTCTCTCTCGTTGCTATACTTAGCAATGATACTATACGCACGTCGTCATCGGGAATTTCTGATTGAGAAGAAACAATCGCGTCAAAATTTCACAGATAAAATCGTTACGCGCGTAATGATCAAAAACGCGATACGAGCGTTATAAATGATTGGTACGTCGTATCAAATAAGATAAGAAAAACAAAACGGATAGCGCTTCTTTTGCAGATAAGAAATGTTGATTCGCGTTCCTAAATGGAATCGCAGCAGTTGCGTCTCGCTGTTATCAATGCACGATAATCGGTGAAAGCGTTTCATAAACTTCCGGGGAAAACCGACACAAACGAGACTAATCGCACTCGTTGTTGATCTTTCTATTTGCAAAGTCGCAAAAGCTCTCGGCTGTAGGCTATAAGTTGTACATACTCGATTGTCCTGTGGGCGGTATCACGTATTCCTTTACTTGCAATTCCTTAATTGTTATTCCACATTTCCAATTTTGTATACGCGTGTTCTATCTTCTAAAGTTTACAAGCACATACATAATGCTGGAAAAACGATCGCGACGATTCAACGATTCATCGATCATTCAGAATTGGGAGCATGAGAAAAGGATCAATCGGGAAAGATCCTTGAAAGAAAAGTGAACGTATCAAAGTGCAGAAGTACGTAAGTATACGTACGTATAGGATCTGTTTGCGCGATTCGAGAACTTGTGCGTGATCATTAAGCGAACTATGATTTTATCAATTTAATACGATATCTACGCAAAAACTCGATAAGGCACTCCACTGGAATCTTCGTCAACTTGGTTCGCGACGACTCTTATGATAACATTTGAAAAAGAATTACCTTGTATATACAAAAAATCTGCGGAAAACAAATGAGTAATCTGTTGTCACCTTCGTTGTATGAAACGTATGAGAGTCGAGAGACAATTTCGTTGAATCGAAGCGAGTTTATACACAGATGCGCGATGCGATTCGCGCGCAATCTTGGCGATAATCCGAGTATAGAACAATGAACTGCTACGATCGAGAAAGCGCATGCTGAAAGCGAAAGTAGGCAAGTTTATCTGCATTAAATCGATCAAAATTGCAAACTTTACATTAGATTAGACGCCATACACTGTGGGTACAAGGGTACTGTGTACCATCCGCTTTGTGCATGTATGTACAATTGTTAAACACAATTTGGCAATTGAGTACAGGGTCGGCCCGCTCCTCACAAGCGACGACTGTCACGAGACGCGCGCATCGTTGGTAATGGCCAGTCTACAATGAGTCGTTAGTCGTTAGTCAGATGTCGGAAGAAATAGTTATAAGCGTATCGTAAGGCACGCGGAGACCTGTAATCGGTGATCGTAAGAGATGGCGTTTGGCCAATCGCTCATGATTGCCGATTACAGACTTCCGATCGCCTTATGACACGTTTATGACTTTTTCCGACTCTCTTCCGACATCTGACTAACGACTAACGACTCATTGCAGACTGGCCATAAAAGATTGGAGTCTACTAGAACGTGTATAAGAAAATAAGGGCCAGGAGTTCGAAACGAAAACCTCAGACTCTTTGGATCGTCACGCGTGGAGACTTTGTTTCTTGCATCAAATTTTAACGGGCGTATCGTACTTTAGTCAACAAAATCGTCAACAAAAGCAAACAGTTGATGGATAGACTCTTTCGTCAAGATTCGCAAGAAAAGATCTACGAGAGACCGCGAGAAGGCGGAACTGCGAGAATACGGAAGGAGATTCACGAATTCGTGGTCCGATCAGGACGACCATGCAGTTCCATTCGCTGTTACGTGCTGTACGAACTCATATTTACAAATTCCATTTCTAAATTCAATTTTTCTCACTATTTGTCTAGGCACTGATGCCCCTTAACGTGACTCACTTCAAATTCCCCTTTTCAATATCTTCTGATCACAGTTGTAAATTAATCCTAATGCTAACAGTCCTTTTCGTCAAATACTAAACTTTCTATTTCATTATTCTTTAATCAGCCGCTCATAGTTACTATATACCGACATTAGAACGCGTTACGTTATTGGTTAGGACTTGTTGGTGAAAAATCGTACAAAAGAAGATCCTTCTTGAGTTAGTTCTGGTAGAGTTCTTGTCTAGTTCTTGTCAAGTCCAGTCTTGTCTGTCTTGCAGAGTTCTGCTCACAGTCAGTCGTCAAACCCACAGTCTCAGCGATTACACCTTCGATCACTATTTGCCTGTGCCTGAATAAAGTCTTTAGTGGACACGTGCCTTTAACATAACATTACGTGGCTTCTCGCTCGTAATATCGCGCGTTAATAATTGCGAAAACATTACGAAAGACGAACTCGACGGACGAACAGCGTTTGTTCGTATGAGAGAGAGAGAGAGAGAGAGAGAGAGAGAGAGAGAGAGAGAGAGAGCGCGCTTCTGATAATTTAAATTCTAAATAACTGCGCACTCTCACTAATCGTACATTAGCCTCTTTTTACATAGACACGCCTTTAATACGTACACAAACTATAACACGTTTTTATATGATTTTGCAATAATTATACATATAAACGTGTTATCCTTGAGACACTGTGTCGTAGATACATATCGCAGATACGCGTATCGTAGGTAGTAGATCTTTATCGAGAACAAGAGACTAGAGATTATTCAATTTGTCCAACTTACCACGTTATATCTAGTAGGAAATTGAAAAACGCAACTCGGCGTGTCGATCTGAGTTATCATTGGGGTTGTTATCAAGTTTCGGACGGAACGTAGAATCGCCAGGCATGCCAATAGCGAGCATGTCAAAGACATCGTTATCCTATATATCACCGGAAATGACAATTAACAAATCTCGTTTCCTCCACGTCACCTTCGGTCTGTTCGCGCGACAAATTATATATATGCCGCTGTAACGTACTACCAACGATGATGACGTTGACTTACCACGTGTGCATAAATAGATAATTATCAATGATGATCCAACCACCCCGCCAATGCGCGATGCATGCTACTCCAAAGGTGTAAGTATACAGAATTCGTAACGTCCGATAAAGCAGTCGTTTTCGCCAACTTGATTTAGCCCACTTCTTCATGTAAACGTTGTGAAATTGGTCTTTGAAAATCGTATATGTTGCGAGCAGAGCTGCGCCGAACGTAAAACAAAACCAGCCGGGAAACCTGTTGACAAACTCCTCCTAAAAACATATCCTCTTGAATTTTAAATTATAAATTCCGCGGCCTCAAGACATGTCTTCCGATCTATGTCCTCCTCAAGGACTCGTCGGAGGACACGGGTTCCCACACGGGTTCTTTACTTTGTGAGACAAGAATTGATTCTTTTGGTGAGACTCATCAGTCTCTAAAGTTTGACTTGGGGCCCAAGTCAAATTTTTTAAATAAATACCCCCATGTTTTATTTTGCATTATCTTTCTCTATATACTAATTAATTTAAACAACTTTTGTCTGAAACATTTTTTTATTTGCCTAATTCTTTTTTAGATATTCAAAAAAGGAAACCTTTGTAACATTTTCAATATTTAACTTGTGCTATCTCGATAATTGTTTGCCGGAGGAAAAAGTACAAGTACAGATCTTTTTGACTTGATTTAGTCTCAAGAATATGCCATTTTCCTCGATTATCTCAAAAATTGGACAAATAAAAAATGTTTCAGACAAAAGTTGTTCAAATTAATTAGTAGAAAGACATGATACAATAAAAAATGGATGTTTACATTTAAAAAATTTAACTTGGATCCTACTGGACCATAAACACTCTTTAGGCTCCGGGCTCAAAATCTAACAAGATCGTTTATTGGCCCCTTCGCTCTGAACCTTTTAATTTTTATTTTAAACATTTTTCAACGAAACCAATACTTGACGAGATACGTGGCACACGAAATAAAACTCACTCTGTACATACATACATACATATATATATGTACATATGTATATACCTATATATATAGGTATATTTCAGCCGCGATCCAAATAACGATTTGACGAGGAATATTAGCTTAATTCCGTTATCGAAGACTATTTCAGTGTCGTTCGCATATATCCCGCAAGTATTCCAATTAAGTAATTCACTCGCCTCTCGCCTCTTTATATTAATTAATTTTATTACTCACAATTCCGCATGACGATCCATGCATCCCCATACACCTCTCCAAAAGCCGATCGCGAAAGGAGCAAGGATGCTCGTAGAAATCAATATATCGAGTAAAGAGAACGCTCGTTTCTTACTTTTCGATCGTTTCAAGTTTTCCGATCCTTTTGTCGGGTTAGACACTTGATCCAAGATGTGGTCATCAGTGTTCCCAAAACATATAAGCGTTTGTTCTTCCTACGCGATCCCATTGACGCGAGATTAATTAATTAAAAGTAATTAGCAAAAAGATGATTAAAAGATTGTCAGAAAGAAAAAATCGGGTTTCAGACGATATTTTTCACAATACCTTTACGGACACGAGAGAGACCAATTTCACGCCAGGGCTTACTTTCCTCCCTAGGGAAGAAAATTGATACTTTCCACCCGGCATAGCGGGTGGTAAGTAACCACTTTCGCCCCTCTCTACAGGCATGGAAAAGTCGAACTTTCCGTGGAGGTGTTGTGAAAAATATATATCGTAGATCACAGCTTAGGTAATTTGGCAGAAATAATTTTTTGGAACATTTAGAAATGATTAATATCAGAATTTGGAATCCTCGCGGAAAAATCGGACGAGTGGAAAATGGATGGGGAGAAAATACATACATTTGGAAAAGGGAAGAAAATTTACCTTATTGGAATTATTTCGCGTTTCCTTATCGACAATCGATATTGTCTTATCGGCCTCATCCTTGTCATCCTCTACTTCCGTTTCCACTTTTCTAATCACATCAGGCACCACAGAGAGACGGTCGTTTTCATCGTTATCAATCGATGTTAATGCACCGTCGCGGTCACATTTAACATCGATATCGATATTTGAACGTTTCTGCGATACCGCCGTTTGTACACGGCTGTTTGAACGTGAATGAGAATCCTCGTCCACCACGTTCTCTATAAGCTCTTTGTCGTCAGGCAACGAATTCCGCGATTCCGTATCATAGGACATATTTCGCCCTTCTTACGTGGTTGAGAGAAAATTTCGTTCCTCCGATGCTCCGATGCTCCACAATCGTCGCTTAACGACGTTACGCGGTTACGCCGCGCCGCACGTCGTAAATTGACGCGAAACTGACGCGAAACGATGCGACAAGCGACATACGAAATGGAAATATCTAAAATAATAATAAAGATGTAGAAGATCGCTCTATCGTGCTTGACGAAACTGCACTCGTACCTCAGAATTGAAAAAATGGATACGCGGACTGGCGGCTTCCACGTCGTCGTATCCACTTAGAATTTATGTACACATATATACACGCGCGCGTATCCTCTAATATACTTAACAAATAAAATACGTAAGACGTATCTTTTGCCGTCTCGTCCACCATCGCGCGTCAGATTCATGTTTCGCATATAAATCTAGTATATATATGTCGTTGATATAAAACTAGTGGTCATTGTTGGATTTGATTGATCGGCGTCGTTTTTATTGCATCATTTGTTTTTAACTGTTGCAAAATTTAAAATTTGTGATACCATATTATAATCTCTCGTTCAACGCCACTACAAATTTCGCCATTCTCGACGACACAAGAGAGCTGCAAACAAGTCTTTACCCTTCTTCCTTTCTTTCTCTCTTTCTAGTTTTGAAATAGGTACAAAAAGACTTGATTGGTCTCGTTGTCAGACCGCAATATCCGTTATCCTTTTCTCGTGACGATGCATGATGGTCGACCGACCCAAGTAACACAGCGCAGTCAAAATACCATAATTATTTTGACGTCATATTGACCCAATATTGCGTCAAAATGATTTATCATTTTGACTGCGATGTGTTTTTTTTTTTTTTTTTTTTTTTTTTTTTTGTAAAGTACAGGCTTGTGCTTGTTTTCTCAAACTTACCAATAGTCAACAGTAGATAATATCCAATGTTCGATACAAGTAATCCAGTGTCCATGTAAAGTAACGAATGGTATAAGTGATACTCGGATCCTCTAATAATGTAGCGATAACGCGTGCGCGGTAATTTGACGCAACGTATGTATGTACATGTACATATCGTCGCAGGTAGATATATGTGCCTAATGTATACCGTTCCATTATCATCCATGCAGGTGCTGTTTAAACACGCACGCGTTTGCGCACACCAGGCCGAAAAGTATAATTCCAAAAATATGTTCGAGGTAACGTGTGATACGTGGCGATAAACAAAGAGGAGGACCGAGAGGAGACTCGGTAGACAAGTAATTAGATGTATAATATATTCATAAGATAAGATTATGTATTCAAGAGAATTATATAATGATCAATACTGCCTCATTAATATTAAAATACTCGCCGCCCGCGAATTATGAAAACCTATAATAAAGGAAATACGAGATTGTGAAGCGAATTTTGTTACACCGTTTGCTTCCCTAAAAAACTTGCCGATGACACACATATTTTAGTCGATGATATACATATTTCATTTCATTGCCATTTCACGGGAAAGAAAGCTAGACAATAAAAATTAAATATTAAATAATTCGTAAATTTCGTAAATTTGCAGGGTTGCACAGGCCTCGCTTTTCAAAGTCCTCTTTATAACAGAGTCAATATTGCTCTCGACTTTTCCTTCACTTTGCATTATCGATACTGTACTTGACTCTCTATATGAATAACCTCTTCTCTGTATATATGTATAATAATTATTTAAATAAAGCCGTTTGAAAACGTTTTATTGTGACCTTTACAAAGTAATCGATTACGCCCTATAAATATTTATTGCGTAGATCTTGTATATTTTCCAAAGACCGAAGAAATGTAAAAATTAAGATTTGACGTATATGTGTATATCAAGTTTTAGCCTTACGGTATATCTACAAGTTTCTAGGCCGTCTCGTTGTTAGTTGGTTAATAATTAATTAAATTAGCATACATCCATTTGTATAGTGAAATGTACCATACAAAGTATTTCTAAAAATTGTTTGTCTCAAACTTGGCGAACATATATAATCTGCCATCTTTTTTTTTTTTTTTTTTTTTTGCTTACTTTCTCCTATCTGCACCTTTCAACGCCGCGTTGCCCGAATCTTTTGTTTTTGCGGTATCGATCGAACCTTAAACACGAAACGTTGTTCCTTTTCACCTTCTTAATACACTGTTCAAGTTTGACACGGGTCTTACACTAACTCTCTCCCACATATTTACTATACGTAAAATCAGGAGACTATGAAAGAAATGTGGTACCATTTATCATTTATACTCGCATTTTTGTTCGTACGCCTTCTTGGCACACTTGCCAAAAGAAGTGGTAAACAATTATAAACATTACGAATAAAACTCTATTAAAATGACACGTGGAGAATCGGTCGAGTTATGTGTGCGTATATGTATACTCGAATTTATCGATATTAAGCCGTTTGTTTTACGTTAAACGTGTAACATCTAGGCATCTGCGGATAGAAAAAAAATGCCCATCTGTTTTTTACAATAAAAACAAACATGTCCTTTACAACAACGTCGCTTTCATCCATGTCGCTTTGACGGAAGTGCTATAGCTGAATCTTCCGATTTTTATCAAAGCATTTGAAAACTTGTTACCAACTCTACTCGCATTACATTCTTTGATACTAGAAAAAGTTGCACGTACTTTGTGTATGTATGTATATATATATAATTTTTTTTTAAGATTTAGTAATATATGTATAATAAGTAACAATAACGTATACAATGTCCACAATATAGAAGATGGATCAGATGGTTATATCAAGGCATACGCGACCTCGCACTGTGATATAAATTATAAAAAGAGTTTCAAGTATACCTTCCATATTGTGCGGCATCTTCTTATTATACTTGTATTTGCGCGCTTTAACAATACCAACAACATTACTTGGCTTGAACGTAGTGCCTAATGCAAAGCAGGCCACCGATAGTTTTCTTATTGACGTGTTTACATACAGCCGTGTCCGCACATAAGGCGATTTCACGCCATGATAACTGTGTGGCCTTAACTTTTAACGTTATATAATATTAAATGTTACGTTATGTGTAATTAAAATTTATCATGTAAGACGTATGCAAATCGAACTTGTTAATACGTGTACAACGTGTCCGTTACGTTTCATCTGTAATACTGCAACTAAAACTTTCCATTACACTGTTTTTATTATTCCAGTCACTATTATCCTACTTACCTAAAAATCCTCATGTCTCTCTATTATATCGCTATAAATTAATCGCTATCCATTGCGACAGATTCTCTAATCAAACTTTCCTTTAAATCAGATTCGTCTACATAATTATATTTTGAATTCTTCTCTTCTGCAGATTTTACGCACTGAAACGAATTAATAATACACGATTGTAAAAATCAAGTTTGCGTACATACATGTCATAGAATTGGCTTTTAAACATTTGTATTTGCCAACTACATAGGATAAAGAACAAAGTCTATATGTGTGTATGTGTGTATGCAGTCACGGAATAAATAATACCACCTATATGACACGTAGTCAAGTTTTCAAGAGAGGCAAAAAATTGTGCCAAAAGTGAAATATATAATAAAATATACCCGGATCCGGGTTATAACTTTTCGAATAAACATTGAAATTTATTTATAAACAATATGTATTCATGGAACTTGGTGATCCAAGCCCTGTAGAATGATAATATGGAATAATCAAAGTCAAAAACTGCATCTGCAGAAAAATGTCATATAGTCGGTATTATTTATTCACAGACAATATATATCTTTCGTGTGGATTGTCAAAATATCGTCGAGTTAAAATTTTAATTAAAGAAATAAAATAAAACACGAAAACTTGTATAAAAAAAAGTTCGTCCTTACTTCTTCGATACGTATTCTAGGTGCCATTATTTGCTCAGGATAATGCCAAGGCTTAAAATTTGGATTATTAAGTACTTTCCAGCTTGGGTAGCCCACAGAGGCTTTATGCAATCTTTTTACCATCTACAAAGTATAGCTTTGTAAACAAATGTTACATTTATTTGTGTTCGATACTTGATACCGCTTAATAATATTTTTCATAAGAACCTCACTTTAGGGGCAAATATTTGTGTAACTTTATTAACGAGCCACACAGGTAATTTGCCATGTGGATCTGTGTGCGATACGTAACCCAACTCGGAACCGTCTCCATTGCGCGAAGGCCTTACAATATAGCCTTAAATATAAACAATACTTTTGGACACATACGAAAGATGGTATAACGTTATATTAAATGTAAAAGTTATATGCATACGCGCGCATAAAACGCGTTTTGACTTGCTTCCTAGTATTTTTACCTGTGAGGTAAGACGTTGCTCGTACAAAGTGTTTCCTAGGTGGGTAATCTTTGTGATAAACGGAATGATTCAATATCAATTGCTCTATACCGGTATCTAACCAAGATCGTTGCAGGACAAAGTCTCTATTTTTTAACGGAGACGGACATGCCACTAAAATTTGTACAACGGTGTAATATAATATAAAGCAAGATATGGCCGATATAAAAGTTAAAACTCAAAGATTCGTAAACGTTATACTCACTGGAATAATAACCAATATCGTTGTTTGGATTAAAAAACCCTATATCTTTCGATTCAATCATATGAGTGTCCCAAACTTTTCTATATTCAGGATCGTGTAAAACGTCGTACAGGGTTTCTGGTGAAATATCGGGGAAACGCGTTCTAATCTGTGACGTTAAGCTCGAGTTAACGTCTCGATCAAAGACTAAAACGTCATTTGCCAATGAAGAGAGAGAACTTACCTTCACCATTCTAAAACTAATTCCTGGGACGGATTTTGTCCAAACAGATAGATCAGGCTTGTTATAATCTAATTTCCAGTTGTTATTATCGTCATACAACTGCTTCAATTTCTCAAAATCTTTATCTTCTGCAATTTTGACAACGCCAATATCCATTGTACGAGAGTATAGTCTGCATGGAGAAGCAGAATTTAAATAATGTACGTATGTATGTGTATGTCCTTATGATACAACTTGGCCTCTCTTTCCTCTAAACGTGTTACAAAATACACACACACACACACTCTCTCTCTCTCTCTCTCTCTTTCTCTCTCTCTCTCTCTCTCTCTCTCTCTCTCACCTGATGTTCGTTACAAGCTCATCAACAAAAGTCTAGTATCATCATTTTTTGTGTTTATTCACGTTCTAATAATTCTGTAAATCTACACACAATCTCGCATATTTTCTAAGGTAGAAGAATACTCGAGCATATATATATATATATATATATAACGCGTCTTCCCATGTTCCATCTGCAAGAAAAAATTACTCTCGTATGATATATTGTTATCATATTCTCAGAGGTTTAAATTCAACTAAAGTGAAAGAGAGGAAGAGGAGAGGAAAGAGAAAAGACACAACAAGAAGACACATACATACATGCATGCTTCTACTGAAAGTCATCGGACTTGATCGTTCGTGGCCCTGGAACGTGGTCACTGGTCAGTGATAATCAAGTCATATCACATGTTTAAAAAGCTCGCGGCGTCATCGCAGGTGACAAAGAAGACTCGAGATACGTGAATCTTGAGAAAGCTGAAAAGCTCTCGAGCACATGTCCCGCCAACGACGAGCTACGGTGATGGTGCGTTACTTCCAGTTCCAGGTGACACATACGAGCTAAAGCTAAACGTGTCGCGGACGACATCGACATCGAGAACGCGGTTTATGCGACAGATCTTGTGTATGTCTCTTTGGCCAGGGCTCTGATCTTTTCACGACCATCAGCGCGATCAGCGATCAGCCCGACGTTGTTGAATGTACATACATACGTAGAAACGCGATCGTTTTATCGTTGTTTAGGGTTTAGGGTTTAGGGTTTAGGGTTTAGGGTTTAGGGCTTACCAGATTTACTCGACGACTGTGACAACGGTAACGACAGCTGCGCATACTCGTTACCGCCTGTCATCAGATCACGATCACCGATCACGGCGAGGATTTGAGATTCGTTGTTAGATGCCATCACCACCCCCGTCACCGTCGTGATTCTCTCTTTCAACTCTTTCAAGCCGTTTGACAACTTTAACACATTTGCAGTTTGCCGTTGCACACATTTTGGAGCATTTGGCACATTTGACACATCGATATGATCGATATCGATATTATCGATAGTCGGCTCATTTTTTATTGCCGCGCACTTTTTTCATTGCACATTGCACTAGACTCTACTACTGGAGCTTGAGCCTATATCCAACTACAACTTTAACTTTTACTTTACGTCCGTTCTCGCTCTCGCTAAATTTCAAACTTGTTCCATTTGACTGAAATACATGCCAACTCTGGAACCTGGAGAGAACCATCTGTGGAACCACTGAAGTATACTAAAATTCTACGGAACTACTGCAATACTGGAACGAGCGCCTGTAGGCCGCCCAGCTGGGCTTGCCGAAACGCTCGCTCGCGCAGCCGGCTGCCGAGTGCCGGCGCAGCGCAATCTATCTCGATTGACTCAATTCTCGATTCTCGATTCTCGAATCTCGATCTCGATCTCGATGTCTCGATCAGTTGCGACACAGGTGACAGGACTGATAGGTCTCGTGTCTCGATTGATCTCGAATCTCGATTATATTAGTAATAGCAAAAAAGGTTAAGGTTACTTGCACGAAGAGAGTTAACTCACATACCGCGTGATGAATGTTATGAGCACGCGGGTCATATCCCGGGTAAGTTTGAGGATACTGAACAATGGATAAAGCTTTCTATTGAATCTGTAATGAGAGAGATAAAAATTATACCTCAGATCAGACCGCTTGTACTTGCGAGAGATGTGTCGGTAAGTTGCTGCAGGCGGAAAGATGATTTTCAAGATTTGATTCATCCAGAAGGTCGGGAACCTGGCATTCCACGTTACGCGGAACGCGACGGAGAGAATACAAATCTCAAAAGAGCACGGTATCGTTCACAGAGTATCGTTTTTTCTTACAATCAACGAATATGATCCGATCCCAATATGATAGAAAGTAGCATACTTGTTTCGAGGTTTCGCGTCTCGCGTTGCGCGTGGTACACTGTACACATATCCTCTACATATATGGTGTTCTTTACTTTAGTACGTAACTGTAGTTGACGTAACGTTTTACGTAGTCATACTTTGTAGTTAATGTCAGAATCATCCTTGACGTGTCGACACACGTAAACGTCTACGATCATTTTAGATTGACGTATCAATCTCGTAAACGTGGGATGTTGGAGAATGGTCTGCTTCTTAGCACCTTTGCACACAAGTATTTGAATGCGTTCGATGACACGCAATTAAGACTATATGATCGACTTATAAATTTACCATCCAACGACTGGGATATATTCTATTGGGCGACTGGTGTTAAACCGACTCCACCTGAATTTGACAATCAAGTGATGGACTTACTGAAAAAACATGTTCAGAATGAAGATCGACAAACCAGGATAATGCAACCAGATCTATAAATCTATATATATCGTATAGCAAATATAATAGTAAGACAAGCCCTAACACGTATAGCAGGGTAGTACGCTAAGCTCTGATAGTGACATATAAACTTGAAAAGTGTTGAAAACGTCCAACGTACGACGCATAAAATAGTAGATAAATACGTAAAAGCATATATTGTCGTTTGAAACAAATCTAATATTATTCCGTTCGTGTACACTCCGTTCACATGCGTAGACGATGATAAAATTATATTTTATTTATCCACGTAAGGAAATTTTTTTAACGAAATTTCAACATTGGTCTCAAAAATTATTTTATTACAAAAGTTTTTATCTTACATACATGTCGGTCGTCTGATGATTACTTTGAATTCAAATAGAATTATGCGAGTGTTTATTATAATCAACGTGTTTCATTCAATATAATGACTAAAACGCCATACAGAGAGCCATTTCGGATAGCGCCCAAAAGGGATCGTATCTGTGCGCACTATCGCAAACGCCGTAATAATTTATAATAAACGGAAAAAAATCGATTAGGTAATGTTCATGTATCTGTTGGGATTTGCGAGATATTGTTTTGTTTGACTGAAACTCGCAAGTCCTACTACCTTTTTCGTAGTGTTTAATTTTGTTGAACCTCTCGATGAGCTTTTCGACGAACCTCTTCCTCTCCGCGCACTGTAAATAACCGAAAAAAAAAAAATAAAATATGTACGTATACGTGTGTGATTTTTTTTTTCCCTAACGTACAACCATTACGTTACGTGTGTAATAAGAGAAGTGACGTGCGCACGTGTACACATCTCTCTTTTTACATTACCTTGAGCCACCCCGTTTATACTTTTTATTAGTACTGTTAGATCTCGTGCCAATCTTTCGTTTCTTGCCGCGCGTGCTAGTACCACTACTGGTGCAAGAGTAGGTGGACGTATTGTCATCCCAAGTATTATCGTCATCATCGCTGTTCTGTTCTTCATCGTTCTCATTTAACAGTACTAAAAATAATGGAATAATCAATAATGTTAAGTACTACTTTATGTTATATTATACGCGAGTATCGAGTACCTGTTCTTTCTGCCGCGTATTTCTGCGTAATGTTTAAAAGAGCTTTGCCATATTTAACAAAGTTAGCCTTAGTAACGTGTGGTATTTGTAACATGGCTTCTTCGGTTTCTGGTAAACGCTGGCTCATAGCTCTGACAGCTACCATGTTCATAATGGAAGAAGCAGAAACATCCAATGTACTAGCGATTTCCCTTATTATTGTCATCAATTCGGCATAGCAACGATCTTGCAATTCTTTTACAATGCCATCAAGTTTCTTCGTAACTGTTGAAACTGTAGCTACACCACTCGTAGATTTATTCGATTGTCTCGTTGGAATTTGTACCTGTTTAAGATAAAGTAAAACACACAACGCATGAAAGGCAAATAATAGACAAAATAATGTCTCCCATCTCCTATCTCACACACACACACACACACACAACATTACTATATCTAAAATATCTAAAACGCACTGTCAAGCTTGTTCACGTATACATTGCATTCTGAATATCCTATCAAGAATAAATACCTTTACATCTTTTTTTGTCAAAAGTTCCGTCGCTCTCGGTCCAATTTTTACATATGCGCAAGCAATCTCATGATTAATATACATGTTTTCTTGCAAATATTCTTGCAATACCATATAGTGCATAAGGCGTTCTATGTCACTTCTGTTCCATGATTTACCGCGACCATATAAAGGATGTTTCGTAAGACCTATTAAAAAAAAAAAAAAAAGAATTATTTAATTGTATAACGTGATGTAAATACCAACTCACGTCATTCTACTGTTATATACAAAACGAGTACGAAACCTGATTCTCTAATCTTTTTCAGATCACTGCCCTTAAAAATATCTGTCAAGAATACTAGTGTAAGCTTGCACGTCTTCCTATTGTTAATATCTCTTACAGCTTTCATAATCTCTCTCGCATCTTCAGTAACGTCCAACATTGTAATCTCGTCCTAAAATTATTACGTAGTATTACGTTCAGTCAGTCAACTATATTTTTGTTGTGACACGTCTTCTTCATCTTCTACGCTATATAATGTACCTACCTTGCATCTGCAATTATCACACGCAGTTATTTTATTCGCGATACATTGTTGCCTATCAAATATTTCTCCAAAATAATTAAGCTGTAGCGATCTACGGCAATCTGTAGTATTTTCACAGAATGCTACCATTTTAAACAAATTATCCATGTGGGTACTGATAACTTGTGGATTTGGATTATCCAGTTCAATCATTTTTCTGATTCTGTGCATGTCTGCATAATGATAAAATAAAATGCAATCTGCTATCTCACCATCACGACCAGCGCGACCGCTTTCCTGATAATAGCCTTCTATAGACTTTGGTAAGGCTGCATGTATCACAAAGCGCACGTTTGGTTTATCAATGCCCATTCCAAAGGCTATAGTCGCACATATAACATGTACCTGGAAAAACGTGTATGTAGATGCGATATAATTTTATATTATACATATATGCGTATGCGCACGCGCGCGCAGATATTGTACGAAATATACTTCATCGGCAATCCATTTTCCTTGATAGTTAATTCTTTGACCATCTGGGAGTCCTGCATGATAACTCAACGCTTTAATGCCGTTTTTCTTCAAATGCGCAGCATAATCGTCACAATCCTTGCGCGATAAACAGTACACGATGCCACAAGTGTTTTTAAATTTTGTCATTATCATAGCCACAACTTCATCGGAACAATTTTTTCCTTTCTTCGATATTATGCTGTATCTTAAATTAGGTCTATTGAAACTCGACATAAACCTTGAAAAAGTAACCATATATCATATATATATATATATATATATATATATATATATATATATATATATAATATACATATATATTCAACGTGCTAACACACACGCACATATACAGATATACACATACATACCACTTTGGCGTAGTCATACCCAATTGATGCAAAATATCTGTTCTAACACGCGGCGTAGCTGTTGCAGTTAAAGCCATTGTTGGCACTTTGGGATAGTTGTCTCTGAGACATCTTAACCTTTTATAATCTGGTCTAAAATCGTGACCCCATTGACTAACGCAGTGAGCTTCGTCAATAACAAATCTTCCCAACAATTCTCTCTCGTATAAAATAGTCAGAGTATTACAGAATTTTTGCGACGCAGAGATTTTCTCTGGTGTTACGTATAATATTTTGAGAGCAGGTTCTTTTTTGGAAAGTTCCCTATATATCGCAGTTTCTTGATTATCTGTTATAGAGCCGGATAAATGAGTCGCAGGAATCTGCAAATTTTAAACCAAGACTGAAGCAAGTGATATATGACGCACGAGTATACGCTTCTATAAATGTAAATGTGTACTTAATATTACATTGTTTCTCTGCGTATGTATCTAACATATAATAATACTTTCTCTTACATCGAGTGAGGTAAGTTTTTGAACTTGGTCTAAAATAAGACTCTTCAATGGTGAGATAACAACTGTTAATCCGATACTTAAAAGGGCAGGCAATTGATAACAAAGGGACTTTCCACCTCCGGTCGGCATTAAAACGAAACAATCAAATCCCAAAAGTGTTGCGTTAATAGCTTGCAACTGATTTGGCCTAAACGTATATAAACCGAATCTCTGCCGAAATATCTAAAATCAAGAAACATACGTAATGCACAATATTATATGTTCTCACACGTGGTCCAACATGTACGTCGAGTGTGCATAAATTATTTAATATTTATATGTATAACGGTCGTATACTCGCCTAACGAATACAAATACTTTATGTACCTTTAACATTTCTTGCGAATGTGAATATGTTAAACCATCAAATTCTCCACTGACACCATCGTTTTTATAATTGCCGGTAAATTTTCCATATTCTACGCTATCTTTTTCGATTTTTGATTTTACTTCATCATCGTTGTACGTCCTATTCTGTGCCATGCTACTCTGTGGCCACTCTACAAAATGGGCGTAAAATAAGCATTATTTATCATATTATCAGCATAAATGTATAAACAAAACAAAGTTTTACATATTATATATACATATAAAAACTCATACCTGTAAAATCGTCACTTATATTTATATTACAATCTTCTCCTAAAGCTGGGAATTGTTCCAAATCTTGTATCGAGAGAGAGGTTTCAACTTTTGCAGTAAATCTTTGACAGGTGCCTATGAAATATTTTTTCATTAAGAACTCAAAGCAGAAAAAGTTAGTGATTTATTTGTCATTTGTCTGCACTTTTGTTACCTGGGCTATCCGGACTGTCCAAGACGACATTTCCTTGCATATTTTTTTCATTACTTGACGGCGTTTTAATACTATCGTTAAATATGTCCTTTACGAAAGCACAATCGGAATCCACTGAAGAATTCATTGTCTTAGATGACATTTGTTGGTCCCACATGTCTGCTATTGTTTTAGAAACGTCACTGCCTAATACCGTTTTGATAGGTCTTTTCAATTGAAAAGTACTCTTCTTATTTGAAACTGTAGTTTCAGGTGGCTTAACTGCTGCCATAGGTTCCATGCCGTTCGCGTGCTCCTTTGCATTTATATACGATTCCGTTACGCTTGCCGAGCCTTGACGAAAGGGTGCACGAGTACATTTGGATACCGAGGTACATGATGTGTCAAACGTGTCATGGTCATTTATCGAGCGAGTCTCAGACATGCATGAACGTGGTGTTTCACGTGATTTTGACGATGCAGACCCAGCTGTCTCCGGAAACTCATACATATTATTTTCATCTTCCTTTTGTAATTTTGATAATTTTGTTTGTACTAAACGTAATTTAGCTTTTATATGTCGACGCAGACCTTGCAACTTTTTGAAAGAGACTGGGTCAAATTTTGGAAATTGTTCCAGTATTGGTAATGGGATTAACTCGAGTGCGCTAAAAAATTTGTCAAGAATTTCAATTTCAAGTTCCTTTAAATCTTCGCGTCTTTTAAGCAATTTATCCTTGGTAACCTAAGGTTGAAATAGAAGAATGGAGAAAGTGAGACAAAAAATAAATAGGTGGACGTTAAACATTTCACATACGCACACGAAATATCAAGTCATGATATGAAACTTACAGGTATTGTGGACATTACTGGTTTCTGTTGAATAACGTCAATCCATGAACCTAATTCTTTGTTCAAGCCTAAATCTTTCAGATTTAATCGAATGTCAGGGCCATCCCAATTTTTTCTCGGCAATCTCTTGCCGTTAAACTTTGGGCTAGGACTATCGGTATCAGAATCTGAAATTATAGTATCTTTCCCTTGTTTATTGGATATTATATTGTATTTTTTAAGAGTCCATAAACGCTCATCTTCATCTTTAGACATAATGTCATTGTCGTCGTTAAGTATTTCTTTATTTCCCACCAATAATGTTGTACTACTAGTAGAAGAGGAATGTTGACTGCTGCATTTAGCATAATGATCATTTTGTGAAACAACAACTCGCATCTTCTCATCATCTTCTTCC